TTGTCCCCGTGCCTAGAAAGCAATGGGTCTGGGCGGTTTTCTCCTTGCGCCGCTTCTTTCTCCTGGAAAACCTGCTCTTTAGTGGTATATTGGAGCAAACGCCAATCCGGAGAAAACCCAAGTGGCTGTTTGCTCCAAAAGAGCACTAAAGAGCAGTTTTCCCTGGGGGAAAGCAAAAGGACAAGAGGAACTGTTAGCTTACCAAGCCCTTAGCTTAGCAGGCATCCCCAAACTCAGCCCTTCAGATGTTTTGGGACTACAATTCGCATCATCCCTGACTACTGGTCCTGTTAGCAAGGGATGATGGGAGTTGTAGTCCAAAAACATCTGGAGGGCTGAGTTTGGGGGTGCCTGGCTTAGCATGAAGAATGTCCAGCCCTGTGAATCTTTGGGTAGGCCTGAGAATATCACCCGTCTGTATCCTCTCATAGCTACTGCCTCTCAGGGTAGATAGAAGATGGACTCAATGGCCAGCCTTGGTAGAAGGCAGCTTCCTATGTTCCTAACATAGGAGTGTATGGTGTATATTATTGTTTTATTATTATTTATTGAATTTATATACCGCCCTATACCTAGAGGTCTCAGAGCGGTTCACAGAAACCGCATCTCTGTGGTGATGCACCACCGCCAGATCAAATGCGAGAGAGGCTCCATGCCCTTTTTGCACCGTGGCACAAAGGTGTGCAATTCCTGCCCCACCCCACCCCAGGGCTTGGGCCATCTCATCTAGCCCTGGGCCCTGCTCCAGAATGGAGTTTGTATCCAGAATACTTTCCTGCAGCTGAACTTTGCTGCAGCTTTTCTTGTGTACAGGATGGTGGGGGGAAAGGATAAGGGCAAGAGACAAGAGACAAGATGCATCCCTAGCTAACAGGAACAGTGGTCAGGCTTGTGGTTAATACAGTCATACCTTGGTTCACAAACGCCTTGCAAGTTGAACGTTTTGGCTCCCGAACACCACAAACCTGGAAGTGAGTGTTCCGGTTTGCAAATGTTCTTTGGAACCCAAACGTCCGACGTGGCTTACTCAGCTTCCGATTGGCTGCAAGAGCTTCCGCGCCTTGGTTTCCGAACATTTTGGAAGTCGAACGGACTTCCGAAATGGATTCCGTTCAACTTCCGAGGGCCCACTGTATCCTAAAAGGGGTGGTGGAATTAGAGTTGGAGAGGATGCATGTCATAGGAAGCACATTTAAAGTGCATAACTTCCCTCAAAAGAATTGTGGGAATGGTAGTTCTGGGGGGGGGGGACTACAGCTCCCGGCATTCTTTGGGGGAAATCACACAGGTGTGCTTTAAACATAGGCTGTGCCTCTGCTCAAGATTACACCCTCCCTCCCTGCATTGCATACGCTGATGTTTCAAGAGGAATGAATGAAAGAAAAGGGATACGATTTTCCCTTCCCCACTTGCCAGAATTTTGTTAGGGGCCCCGCTGTATGGCTATAAAATTATCAGGTTTGGGGGTCTAGCAGCCTTCCGCTGCTGTGGTATTTTAATGGCTATATATAATGTATGGTAATGGCTATTATATATTGTCTAAGCAAGAGCGTTAACTAGGTGTGGGGGAGGAATTTGGTTCGATTTGCATTTTAGTGCACTTTCAGAAACAAAATGTGAACCAAATCACAGCTACCCTTTGAAATTCACATTTCCCTGCATTTTGTGATGCAGTTCTCCAACAGAGAGAGGTGGGGCATGGAAAAATGTGTAAATTAGAGGAGAATGTAGCTAAAAATGCATGATAGCCAAGCAAAAAAACCAACCCCAAAACAGCAGTATATCAGTGGAAACTGCTTGTTTAAAATGTATGCATTAGACAAAATGCACACTAAAATTCTGCAATTTATTTTTTTGTGAGGGCTTTAAAAAAAAAAGAAAACTGATGTGGAAACGCAGTGAAACACTCTTAAAATAGGAAAAATGAGAAGCTGAAATTGACAGATTTGTGCATCCCTGCGGTCTACCACGAGGTGGTGCTGTTCCATGTCCTTTGTGCTTGCCCTGTTCCGCTTTGGAAATGTTCCTGCGAAGAACAGATGTGTGTGAGAGGCCTGAGCTGTCAGTTTAACTTGCAGATCTCTAATCAAGTCTGTTATTCTAATCAGGATACCTACAGGATATAGCAGAGCAAGGGAAGTCCCTGAGAGGAGGGGGGAGGGGGGAGAAAAGGCATCATTTGTCCTTTCCCAACTTCTGAAGCGACTTGAATAGCATGGCAAGGCTTCTACACCAGAACAGCTGAAGCCCTGAACAAGAACACTCCACCAAGCAAGTGGGGATGTGCTGCAACACTGCGTTGCAGCTCCCACTTGTCTTCCCATAGTGATCAGATACATAGCACAGAATCATAGAACCATAGAGTTGGAAAGGACCACGAAGATAATCTAGTCCAACCCCCTGCAATGCAGGAATCTCTTGTCCTGTGTAGGACTCGAACCCACAACCCTTAGGTTAAGAGTCTCATGCTCTAGAATCCGAGGGAGAGGTCCATGAATTTCCTCCCTGCCATTAAGAGATGAAAAGTGCAACTTAAGTAGGTCTGGAAACACTTGGCAACGAGAGAGAGAGAGAGAGAGAGAGAGAGAGAGAGAGAGAGAACCCAGGATGATATTCAAATCCACTGATTAACTAACAAAGACTTCTTGTTTTCTCCCTGCTGTGGGACTTGAACGCAGTGTATCCTTTCAGGTTTCCCCGGTTACCTTAGCGCAAGAAGACAAACTTGAGAGAAATGCTGAAGAGGTTCTTAACTCTTGCTTAGGAAGAGGTGGACGGCTCCCTGGCATTTCTTGAGTGAGGACACTGCGCTATGCTTGTTGTCGTGTTGAAAGCAGGCCTGGTGCCAGCACCTGGCATTATTTGGAGAGCTGGGAAGCCAAGCTCACTCCATCAGGTAAAAGGTAAGGTAAAGGTAAAGGACCCCTTGACGGTTAAGTCCACTCAAAGGCAACTATGGGGTTGCGGCGTTCATCTCGCTTTCAGGCCGAGGGAGCCGGCGTTTGTCCGCAGACAGCTTTCCGGGTCATGTGGCCAGCATGACTAAACTGCTTCTGGTGCAACGGGACACCGTGATGGACGCCAGAGCACATGGAAACACCGTTTACCTTCCCGCTGCAACAGTACCTATTTATCTACTTGAACTGGTGTGCTTTTGAACTGCTAGGTTAGCAGGAGCTGGGACGGAGCAATGAGAGCTCACTCCGTCATGGGGATTCAAACCGCTGACCTTCTGATCGGCAAGCCCAAGTGGCTCAGTATTTTAGACCACAGAGCTACCCACGTCCTCCATCAGCTCAGGTGTGACAGGCCAGCTCCATCAGGCTTCCTCTCACCTGGATGCAACCATTCCATCAGGCTGCCTCAGTAGGAAAGATGGCATAACCTCCAACATTTCTCCAATGAAAATAGGGACGTCCCATTCCATAATGATAACTTTACTATTTATACCCCACACATCTGACTGGGTTGCCCCAGCCGCTCTGGGCAGATTCCAACATATATAAAACCATAATAAAACATTTATAAAAACCTTCACTGTACAGGACTGCTTTCAGACAGCTCGGGGGTTGTTGTTGTTATTATTTATTGAATTTATATACCGTCCTATACCCGGGGGTCTCAGGGTTCGATAACGCCATACCCTCCGACATTTCTGCAATGAAAATAGGGACACCCTAAGGGACAGTGGGACAATCCAGGATCAAATAAGAAACCAGGACGGCTTCACTAAATCAGGGATGTCCCTGGAAAATAGGGACATTTGGAGGGTCTGAGATTGAAAGCAGGGCTCATTCCATCAGCTTTGCTGAAAGCCAAGCTCCATGTAGCATCTCCTGCCTCTGCACTGTGCCAGTTGCCAGCAACCTGCCTGAGGCCAAGTAGGTCTGGGTCTCCACCACCTGGGAATCCTCTGTATGTCTTCTTGAGATCCATCCTGAATGAATGTCCCATCTACACTATACATTTAAAGCACTGTTATACCACTTTAGACAGACATTGCAGCGGAGAGCTAAGAATCCCGGGAACAATAGTTTGTTAAGGGTGCCGTGACAGAAGTTATTGGGGACCCTTCTTCCCCTCACAGAGCTACAATTCCCAGAGCGGTTTAACAAGTAAATCCTCTTCGCAGAGTCATGGGGATCTCCTCATAACTCTCAGCACCCATAACAAAGCACAGTTTCCAAGAACGCTGGCAGCACTAAGGTAAATTTGACAGTATAACCTATTTAAAAGGGATGTAAGAGGGGAGAATTGAATGAAGATGGATATATAAAAATATGCAGGAAGTGTGAGCAAATCAATAGAATCTTGGAAGGGGAGGGAGGGGAAGTCGTTGAATGCATGGGTATAATGAAAGATGCCTATTTTGAAATGTAAAGGATTCTTTGGAGGAAGCCATGATTGTGTTAAAGTGGTATCATACTGCTTAAAATGTACAGTGCGGACACAGCAACAAATGTACAGTGGTACCTCGGGTTACATACACTTCAGGTTACATACGCTTCAGGTTACAGACTCCGCTAACCCAGAAATTGTGCTTCAGGTTAAGAACTTTGCTTCAGGATGAGAACAGAAATTGTGTTCCGGCGGCGCGGCGGCAGCAGGAGGCCCCATTAGCTAAAGTGGTCTTCAGGTTAAGAACGGACCTCCAGAACGAATTAAGTACTTAACCCGAGGTACCACTGTATTAAGGACTCAGCTACATTAGTCAAGAAAAAACACTTTAAACATGTTATAACACTGTGACACCAAATGGCGCTGTAGAGTTCTGTCTTTCACCAACGTGATTTCCCATTACAAGGTTTACAAAGCATTTTCCTGAAACGTTTTTTAGATGGTTCTAGATCCAGCCTAAGTGAAAAACTGGAGCGAGCGACAGCTGCCATGGCCCCTTCTCTCCTTTCCGTTATTTTGTAGAAATTTTGAAATGATACGTGGGAACAATTATTACAGAAACACGTGCACACCAAAAAAAAAAAAAAGCACAAACCCAGAGGCTCAGCTATGATAGTATAGAACACACAGTACTTACAACTTTAGTCATGAAGAACGAGCCGCACTAGTCACCCCATACTTTGCTGTATGTAATATATGTATTCTGGAAAGATCTCTAGAGGTGACTTGGAAAAGTGATAATGACCTACATTTGACGTACAACCTTAAAGCCACCAGTCCTCTTTAAAGTCTGCTTTTTACAAGTCCATTGTCTCTTGGTGTAAATGTGTGCTGTTCTGGGCTGCAGGTACATCCTTCTGTTCTACTGACCCATTTTCCTCTTCTCTGGCTTCCAATTCTTTGTCCTCCTGCACCAAGGTCTTGTTCTGTTTCCTTAAAATGAGGAGAACAAGCACACACGGGATGTAGGACACGGCGCGGAGGGCAGAGGGCACACCCAGGTACAGCTGCCTGGAATGCAATTTGGACAACATCAGTAAAGAGCAGCCATAGAGCACCGTATCCAGAAGTTCTCATGCTCCAGAAGTTCTCCCAAGGAGAATCAAGTCACCTCCATGCACTGATGCAGCTTATTTTCATTGGCCTTCTTGGTAACCTAAGGCTTGTTTGCATGTTACACTGAACACAGATACACACTTCTATGTGTGTGCCAGTGTTTGTGTGAAACAGTTTGTTATGTATTTGTTATTTGTTTACCAAAGGTGTCATGGACTTTGAAGACACTCAAACTCAGAACGCAAGGGAGAAATGTGCTAAGAGGAAGGTATGCTTGGCAAATCCACACCATGATCAACTCCTGCCCGGGAACCAATGTCCCCACTGTGGAAGGACGTGTGGATCCAGAATTGGCCTCCACAGTCACTTACAGACTCATTGTTAAAACCATGTTCATGGAAGACAATCTTACTCGGCTACGAGTGATCGCCAAAGAAGAAGATACATACACCACTTAGTGGCTGTGGCAGCCTCAAAGCTATCTTCCAAGGCTCTGGAGCAGACCTAGTCAATGCAGTGCCCGTACAGCTCCCATCAGACCTAGAATGGTCAGGGATTTGGGTGTTGCAGTCCATCAAAATCTGAGCAAGGCCACAGGCTTCCCACCCCTCCATTCATTCATTCACTCAGCCTGATATGTGATGCTGCAGAATAAACTGGACTGAACCCAGAGGCATCAGCTGCATCCATTTGCAGCTGTGTCCCTCCAGATGTTGTTGGAGGCAATTCTAGCCAGCATGGCCACAGGTCGGGGTGATGGGAGATGTAAGTGCAGCAACACTTAGAGCAGGCTTCCTCAACCTCGGCCCTCCAGATGTTTTGAGACTACAGTTCCCATCATCCCTGACCACTGGTCCTGCTAGGTAGGGATCATGGGAGTTGTGGGCCAAAAACATCTGGAGGGCTGAGGTTGAGGAAGCCTGACCTAGAGGCTACTGTGTAGGCTGCCCTCCCAGCTGCTCTACAATATTCTAGAGATAGCACAAAGCTAGAGAGACAGGGATCTGCCAGCGATACCTGTATGTGTCAGAATCGTACATCCGGCAGGCTCCTTCACCACCGCAGCTCTTGGTTCCCCATTTCAAACAGGTAGTGTCAATCATTGCTCCAAAATAAATAGGAGATGGGATTCCAGCTACATGGAATACGACATGAAGACAAGAAGGATCATTTGGGGGCTTTTGTAAACAGTACAGTGTTACGATGGGGTGGGGTTTTTTGGGGGGTCACGCCCAGGCCTGTGATTCTGCACCAAGGAGGTTTATAATCTAGCAGAAGAGGCCACTGAACTGGTCAGACAAGTTTCTTTGAAAAACAATGGCCCAAGTTGGCCAGCTGAGTACTGCCATTTACATGTCCAAAGAGGTTGCCCTGTTGCCATGGAAACAAAGGAGTGGTGCTGCTGCCACTTCACCCGGCTGGATGCCATGCCATGCTAGTATGGCCAAGCAGGACTGCATGTGTGTGTGAGTTTTGGCTGATTCTGGAAGCTGGAGACACAGAGACACGTGTTGCTCTGTGCTGGCCGTAAAGCTATGGCAAGATCCGTTGAAATGTTTATGCTGTGAGCCCCTCCATCCTATGCCTAAATTGTATATATGTGTAAATAAAACCATATACAGTAAGACCACAATTTAAGCACATTTAACTTGTGTGCATTCAGCTTTATGAGCTTAGCAAAAAGGGAAAAAAAGAAAAGAAATTCAAAAGGGGCAGAAAGGGGATGGGGGGGAGTTTGGCCGTTCCACCTGCTATTGCACCCAGTGTGTTTTGACTAGATGCAATTTTGGCTTTAGGCGTGGTCCCTGGAATGTAACCTCTGCATAATTTGCCGGCTTTGTTGTTGTTGTTGTTTAGTTGTTTAGTCGTGTCCGACTCTTCGTGACCCCATGGACCAGAGCACACCAGGCACTCCTGTCTTCCACTGCCTCCCACAGTTTGGCCAAACTCATGCTGGTAGCTTCGAGAACACTGTCCAACCATCTCGTCCTCTGTCGTCCCCTTCTCCTTGTGCCCTCCATCTTTCCCAACATCAGGGTCTTTTCCAGGGAGTCTTCTCTTCTCATGGGGTGGTCAAAGTATTGGAGCCTCAGCTTCAGGATCTATCCTTCCAGTGAGCACTCAGGGCTGATTTCCTTCTGAATGGAGAGGTTTGATCTTCTTGCAGTCCATGGGACTCTCAAGAGTCTCCTCCAGCACCATAATTCAAAAGCATCAATTCTTTGGTGATCAGCCTTCTTGATGGCCCAGCTCTCACTTCCATACATCACTACTGGGGAAACCATAGCTTTAACTATATGGACCTTTGTTGGCAAGGTGATGTCTCTGCTTTTTAAGATGCTGTCTAGGTTTATGAAGTGATCCATTTGTCAGCTTACCATATCCTAAAATCCATCTATCCTGAGAGCTGTAGTTTGAAAGACTACTGAAAATTGTTAGGAGGCCCATATTTGCCTCTCAGAGGTACAATTCCCAGAGTTCCCTGGGAAGAGGAATTGACTGCTCAAACACTCTGGGAATTGTAGTTCTGTGTGGTGAACAGGGGTCTCCTAACAACTCTAAGTACCCTTAACAAACTACAGCTCCCAGAATTCTTTTGGGGAAGCTATGGTTGTTTAAAGTGATGTAATAATGCTGTGGCCACCTCATGAGAAGAGAAGACTCCCAGGAAAAGACCCTGGTGTTGGGAAAGATGGAGGGCACAAGGAGAAGGGGACGACAGAGGACAAGATGGTTGGACAGTGTTCTCGAAGCTACCAGCATGAGTTTGACCAAACTGTGGGAGGCAGTGGAAGACAGAAGTGCCTGGCGTGCTCTGGTCCATGGGGTCACGAAGAGTCGGACACGACTAAACGACTAAACAACAACAATAATGCTGTAAATGTATGTTTTGGATGTGCCTGCTCATCTTTTTGAAGTGCAATTTAAAGTAACCAGCACCTTACCAAAAACTCTTTCTGCCAGGGAGTGGAGACCCACACCAAATGACTTCTCCTCGGGTTTTAGGGACCTGGAGAAGAAGAGAATTTTCCATGAAGCCAGTAAATGAGAAAAGGTGCTATGCATCACATTGCTGTTGAACTACAGCATTAAACAATTAACTCTTAGGCTCCATTAATCGTATGTGAGCAAGGGGCACATTTTGCAGCCCAAAGATTCATCCTTTCCAGCTGCAAACTGATGCTGCAGTCCTATGGCATCATATGAAATTACAATCATATGAGAACTATATGTCAGAGTGGCCTCAGGGAGGGTTGGCAGCATCTGAATGCAGCCCCCCAACTGAATCTAGTTTCCTACCCCTGCCCAACTGCTTTTATATTATTTTTTAGTTTATTTGCCATATGGTCACAGGGTGGTTCACATAATAAAATACAGGGAAAATCATGAAAATAAAAAGAAGAGTTTGGATTTGATATCCCGCTTTATCACTACCCTAAGGAGTCTCAAAGCAGCCAACAATCTCCTGTCCCTTCCTCCCCCACAACAAACATTCTGTGAGGTGAGTGGGGCTGAGAGACTTCAAAGAAGTGTGACTGGCCCAAGGTCACCCAGCAGCTGCATGCGGAGGAGCGGGGAATCGAACCCGGTTCACCAGATTACGAGTTCACTGCTCTTAACCACTATACCACACTGGCTAAACAAAACAGCATAACAATAACCTCCCCATCTCACAGACACATTTAAAAGGCTGTAGGAACGTTTTCGTCTGGCTCCTAAAAATATACAATGAAGGCGCCAGGTGGACCTCCCTGGAGAGAGCATCCCACTTCAGAAGCCACTACAGAAAAGGCCCTGTTCTCGTGTTGCCACCTTCAGACCTCTCATGGAGGAGGCACACAAAGAAAGGCCTCAGAGGATGAACGAAAAGTTTGGGACGGTTTATATGGGGAGAGCTTGGGAGCTGTTTCTGCACAGCTCCAAAGGGCACGTGTATTAATAACGTGACCACACTTCAGGGCATCTGTGTGGCTGTTTCCCACAGAAAAGGTACTTCAACCTGGACTTCAGCTTTTGCTCCTCATTGTCACAGAAAATCCTCGTCTTTCGCACGGAGCATTATTCGCCAAAACCGAAGGCGGGCAGAAAGATCGTTTTACTAAGCTGACCAATTCTGCTATGAAATATAAACCTTGACACTCTGAGGAGGAGACAAATGCGCCGTTCTGAGTTAACAACGTCGCAAATGGGACTCTCCTGTCTCCCAAGACCTATATATCCTGCTATTCCCACCTCTCTTCAGTTAGTACCTTATGAGGACCATGTAACCCGGCATGGCTCCGAAGGAATAAATTAAACAACAGACTAAGGATAAAATCAAGAAATACTGCAGCATTGTCCCACAGTTCTCTCTGTTGCACTGGCCCAGGACCGCCGTGTCATTTCCGAAGGCTGAAATGCAGGAGCAGTTTCTAAATACCTGCCAAAACATAAGACGAAATCAGTTAAGGAAGAGGGTGGGCAGCCTGTGGCCTTTTGGTTGCATGCTTGACCTTTGTGAGTGATCTATTGAATAGGGCAACTGTGCCCCTGAAGGGGCAGGTGCACAGCCTGGGAGTCATTTTGGACTCACAGCTGTCCATGGAGGCACAGGTCCATTCTGTGTCCAGGGCAGCTGTCTACCAGCTCCATCTGGTACGCAGGCTGAGAGCCTACCTGCCCACGGACTGTCTTGCCAGAGTGGTGCATGCTCTGGTTATCTCCTGCTTGGACTACTGCAATGTGCTCTATGTGGGGCTACCTTTGAAGGTGATCTGGAAACTACAATTAATCCAGAATGCGGCAGCTAGACTGGTGACTGGGAGTGGACACCAAGACCATATAACACCTGTCTTGAAAGACCCTCATTGGCTCCCAGTATGTTTCTGGGCACAATTCAAAGTGTTGGTGCTGACCTTTAAAGCCCTAAACAGCTTCAGCCCTGTTAAGTTGTGGGTGAACATATCAGACGACACAGCAATTCTTCCAAAGCAGCTCTTTATTTGTAAGCTGGAACAGAACTAAACTGAAGAGCTCAGTCAGCCTGCTTATATACAGCTCCAGAACCTCGTTACTGTAACAACTTTCTAAAACTATCCAATCACGGAACGTCACTTTCGATCCTTCATTTGCATACAAACTATCCAATCACTGAACGTCACTTTCAATCCTTCATTTTTCATAACTATCAACAGTATCCCCCTGCTGGCCCAGGGTGAGAACTTCAGTACATAACAAGCCCAGTATATCTGAAGGAGCATCTCCACCCCCATCTTTCACTGAGGTCCACCTCCAAGGGCCTTCTGGTGGTTCCCTCACTGCGAGAAGTGAGGTTACAGGGAACCAGGCAGAGGGCCTTCTCAGTAGTGGCGCCCGCCCTGTGGAACGTCCTCTCACCAGATGTCAAAGAAACAAACAACTATCTGACTTTTAGAAGACATCTGAAGGCAGCCCTGTTTAGGGAAGCTTTTTATATTTGATGAATTCTTGTATTTTAATATTTTGCTGAAAGCCACCCAGAGTGGCTGGGGAAACCCAGCAAGTTGGGTGGGCTATAAATAATAAATTATTATTATTATTATTATCTTCCTTGCCCAAACAGCCCACTGGGGGGAAGTGGGTGTGGATGGAGATGACGAGAAGGTGGTATCAGAAAGAGAGAGGGAGAGGGAGGGAGGTGGGGGGCAGTTTTGTGCTTCCTGCAACACCTGCCTTACCGTATTTTTCCCAGTTCCGTTTGAGATGTCGCATCCTGCAAGACATGCTGAAATGTACGCTATGCCATTTTCTCCGCAAACAGGGTCCCACACCTTAGTGGAGCAGTCACAATGGCGGTTGCAGTCCGCGTACAAGTTTGTTTCCATGTAGGAGACTTGTTCGAGCCTGAAAAATACCCAGAAAGGTGTGCAAAGAGCCTGCGAACAATGAGAAAAATGAATAAACAAACCCAGAGCCCCCTCTTCGAGATGGAGAGCTCGGCGAACACCCAGCACAAAAGGAGTTTATTTGTAGATTGTCTGAAGTTGTGTACACACCGTACATTGCAGGACGTGGTTTCCCCACCACCACCCCAAAGAATCCTGGGAACTGTAGTTTAGCCCACAGAGTTATAGTTCCCAGCACCTTTTCACAGACTACAGGTGGTAGGATTCTTTGGGCAAAGTTTAGGCAGATAAAATGATGTATAGCATGGGAAAAGGTGGATAGAGAAAGTTTTTCCTCCTTCTCTCATAACCCTAGAACTCGATGACATCCAATGAGGTCAAATGTTGGAAGTTTCAGGATAGATAAAAGAAAGTGCTCTTTCACATGGACGCGGGTGGTGCTGTGGTCTAAACCACAGAGCCTAGGACTTGCCGATCAGAAGGTCGGCGGTTCGAATCCCCGTGACGGGGTGAGCTCCCGTTGCTCGGTCCCAGCAGCTCCTGCCAACCTAGAAGTTCAAAAGCACGCCAGAGAGAGATGAGTGCCTCAACCCCAGAGTCAGCCACGACTGAACCTCATGGTCAGGCATCCCTTTACCTTTACTTTTACTCTTTCACACATAGCACGTAGTTAAACTCTCCCACCAACCTAAAAGGTAAAGGTAAAAGGACCCCTGACCGTTAGGTCCAGCTGCGGACAACTCTGGGGTTGCGGCGCTCATCTCGCTTTACTGGCCGAGGGAGCCGGCGTACAGCTTCCGGGTCATGTGGCCAGCATGACTAAGCCGCTTCTGGCGAACCAAAGTAGCGCACGGAAACACCGTTTACCTTCCCGCTGGAGAAGGTACTTTATCTACTTGCACTTTGACGTGCTTTCGAACTGCTAGGTTGGCAGGAGCAGGGACCGAGCAATGGGAGCTCACCCTGTCATGGGGATTCAAACTGCCAACCTTTAAAAGAGGATTAGATAAATTCATGGTGGAGACGGCTATCAATGGCTACTGGCAATGATGGCTATGCTCACTGCCTCCACAGTCAGAGGCAACAACAGTTCTAGATACCAGTTGCTGGAAGCCACCAGCGGGGAGTGTGCTATTGCACTTGAATCCTATTTGTAGGCTTCACACAGCGATCTGGTTGGCCACTGTGAGAACAGGATGCTGGCCTTGTTGCTGATCTAACAGGCTATTCTTACTTTCTTATGTTTTTTATCTCTGTCATCTCCAAGTAGGGCTGGGAGAGATGCCTGAATCTGAATCATTTCTTTTTTTGATTGAGTTACAAGCTTGGTGGATCAGAGGGATGCTGTGGACATAGTGTATCTTGATTTCAGCAAGGCTTTTGACCATGTCTCCCATGATATTCTTGCAAGGAAGCTGGCGAAATGTGGATTGAATGAGGTAACAGCCTTGGCCCAGTATAACTAAAGGAGCATCTCCACCTCCATCATTCAGCCTGGACACTGAGGCCCAGCTCTGAGAGCCTCTGGCAGGTCCCTCATTGTGAGAAGTGGGGTTACAGGGAACCAGGCAGAGGGCCTTCTCAGTGGTGGCGCCCGCCCTGTGGAACGCCCTCCCATCAGATGTGAAGGAAATAAACAACTAACTGACTTTTAGAAGACATCTGAAGGCAGCCCTGTTTAGGGAAGTTTTTAATGTTTGATGTTTTATCGTGTTTTTAATATTCTGTTGGGAACAACCCAGAGAGGTGGGGTATAAATAAATTATTATTATTATTATTATTATTATTATTATTATTATTATTATTATTATTTGACAAGTGGCATACCACAGAGTTCTGTCCTTGCCCCATAGTTGTTCAAACTCTTTATAAATGATTTGGATGAAGGAATTGAGAGGGTGTCCATCAAATTTGCAGATGACACCAAACTGGGAGAGGTAGCTAATGTCACAGAAGACAGAATCAGGATCCAAGACGATCTTAACCGATTGGGGTTCTGGGCCCAAACTAACAAAATTAATTTCAACAGGGACGAATGCAAGGTTCTGCCAAAATCCCTGTCTTTATGCAATCTAATCAGCACCACCCAATAGGGTGAAATCAGGCTTACGTAAGAGCAAGAACATACCCTTCGTAGGACATGGTTAAGCCAGCAACCTTAGCATTCTTGCAGACCATGAAAAAAGCAGAGAAGTAGATGAGATACTCCACTATAGAACTCCAAAAACCAATGTGGGCAGCTTTATAGGTGCTTATCTTGAATTTCTTCATCATGAGGCCACCAAAGAAATAACCAGCACATATAATTGGTAAATTGTAAACACCTAGAGAGAAAACACAAAACAGCAGGTTGAGGTATGGCCCTGTCCGTGGCCCTTGCAGAACCACGAGTGTTTTAAGGACAACAAACCTACCTACAAGGTGTGCCCCCTCCTATTTATGTGTGCTCATGGTTGTAGGACTCATCAAGGAGGGTATAAGTGTAATATTAAATAAATAAAGTTCATAATCAGCCCTTCATTCACACACACACACACACACACACACACACACACTTTACCTATGAAAAAGATGGCATCTGCTGCAGATATCCCATACTGCTGTTCCATATATTTTGGCATAAATGTAATCATCCCAATCCAAGCGCTGAACTGGATCACAGTGATCAAAAGAAAAAGCATGTAAACTGGATTGTAAGCCAGACTTTTCAGGTAGGGGATGAAATCTAGAAACGAAAGAACCAGAACAGTTAAGCTCAGTTGCATTATTATTATCATTGGTACTACTACTAGTAGTAGTAACATTATTTCACTGCTTTTTACACTGAAGCGTCTCAAAGAAACTTACAAATTAAGGAATAACAAGAGACATTTGAATGTTTTCGTCCGGTGTCTAAAGGCGGACAGTGATGGGGCCAGCTGTGCTTGCCTGGGGAGAGAATTTCATAAGCAGGGAGCCACCACCGGAAAGACCCCTCCTCCCATGAGCCACTGTCAGCACCAACCTTGGCAACGGCAAACAGAGAAGGCCCTGTGACAATTATTTTACCCACAATGGAGGACTGGGCTCTTTGAAATACATTTGGGGTTTGTATAGGCACGTACCCAGATGCTAGCTCTGTCAAAGCTGTTTACCAAAGATGCTGGTGGAATTTTTCTACGGGCAATCTTAATTATGGACATTTATATATTACTGTTATAATGGGATTGTTTTATTGTGCATTTTAATTATGGTGTGTTATTAAAAACATTAAAAAAAACATATATAATAAAACTATACAGTGGTACCTCCAGTTGCGAACGGGATCCGTTTCGGAGGTCTGGCCGCATCCTGAGGAATTTGCAACCAGAAGACTGCTTCTGCGCATGCAGGCAGCGCAGTTTAGCGCTTCTGCGCATGCATGCACAGCGAAATCCGGAAAAATACTTCTGGGTTTGCTGTGTTTGCATCCCGAAATTTATGTATCTAGAGGGATACATAAGGGGAGGTACGACAGTACAGTGGTACCGCTGGATGCGAAGAGGATCCGTTCTGGAGCCCCGTTCGCATCCTGAAGCGAACGCAACCAGCGTCCGCATGTCTGCGCATGCACGGGTCACGATTTGCTGCTTCCGCGCATGCGTGTGATATCATTTTGAGCGTCTGCGAATGCACAAGCGGCGAAACCCGGAAGTAACGTGTTCCGTTACTTCCAGGTCGCCGCGGAGCGTAACCTGAAAATGCTCAACCTGAAGCACATTTAACCCAAGGTATGACTGTATTACAAAACATTAGCGGGGAAAGGGGTTTTAAAAAAATCCGTTCACCTTTAGCAATTTCTCGAATTGTTGTGCTGACATGAGCTGCATTTTCTGCTGGTAGCAAAGTTTTGTTGCCCTTTGTGTTTAACTCGGCACTGTTTTCCTCTCCTTCCTTCGGAAGAGACTTGGGCAGGAAGCAGAAAGGGATGGCGACGATGAAGCTCACGGCAGCACAGATCAAGACCCCCAGCCACCAGGCCCCGACCCAGCGAGCATCAAGGAGGCTCAAAGTCACATCCTCTGGAGAGAAAGAGATTAATGGAGAGGACTGTATTAGTAGCGCCAAGGTAGCCATCATTCTCAGTGGTAGATTCTCCCCTTCTTGCTTGTTTGATTGCAATAAGCAGGGTTACTTTCGAATGTGAACACTGCATTTCTGGAACTAAATAAAAAGATGCCTTTATAAACACTTGTTAAAGGTAAAGGGACCCCTGACCATTAGGTCCAGTCGTGGCCGACTCTGGGGTTGTGGCGCTCATCTCGCTTTATTGGCCGAGGGAGCCGGCGTACAGCTTCTGGGTCATGTGGCCAGCATGACTAAGCCACTTCTGGCAAACAAGAGCAGCACACAGAAACGCCGTTTACGTTCCCGCTGGAGTGGTACCTATTTATCTACTTGCACATTGACGTGCTTTTGAACTGCTATGTTGGCAGGAGCAGGGACCGAGAAGCGGGAGCTCACCCCGTCGCGGGGATTCAAACCGCCGACCTTGTGATCGGCAAGTCCTAGGCTCTGTGATTTAACCCATAGCGCCAGCTGTCATGGATGCTTTAGATGAGATTCCTGCATTGCAGGGGGTTGGACTAGATCAGGGGTCAGCAAACATTTTCAGCAGGGGGCCGGTCCACTGTCCCTCAGACCTTGTGGGGAGCCAGACTATATTTTGGAGGAAAAAATTCAACAAATTCCTACACCCAGAGATGCATTTTAAATATAAGCACATATTCTACTCATGTAAAAACACCAGGCAGGCCCCACAAATAACCAAGAGGTGCATTTTAAATAAAAGGACACATTCTATTCATGTAAAAAAACCAGGCAGGCCCCACAAACAACCTAGAGATGCACTTTAAATAAAAGGACACATTCTACTCATGTAAAAACACACTGATTCCAGGACCGTCCTTGAACCGGATTTAGAAAGCAATTGGGCCAGATCTGGCCCCCAGGCCTTAGTTTGCCTACCCATGGACTAGATGATCCTTGAGGTTACTTCCAACTCTACAAGTGTATGATTTTTTAAAAGGCATGAGTGGTAAACCTGAGCAGATTCTTCAAGTTTCAAACAGTAGAAGTTAGTCACTGTCCCGGACACACAGGTCTGGATGAAGCATCTCAAAGTGGTTTCGCAATACAATAAAAGCAGAAATAATACTATTGCATCTATAAAACCAGTTAAGCCGTTCCATATATGAAAAAATTAAGAACCATTGCATATGGTTAGAACAATTGCATATATTTTAAAAATTGAAATACATGCATGAAATACCTAGTATATATTTAAAGTAGATAATTAAACGAGCAAATTAAATGAATTTGGATATGCAGAAAATATTTAAAAAATAAATTTAAGGAACCGCAGAAAGAGGGGGAAGGAAGTCAAACTTTGAAATGTTAAAATGATTGTAAAATGAAATTTGAAAAGTATAAATAAAAACTTTTATAAAAAATGCATACTCCAGGCAAAATTGCATCAGCAATGCATATCTTTGGATAAATGTCCACAAATTTTAAGGCAACTTAAAAAAAAACCAAAACACCTTTGCAACTGTGTGTAGAATGGGGTGAATCGAACTTCCTAAAAATGAGAATCTGAAATTGAGAGATTTGTCCCTCCCGAACTGGATGCCATCCAGGTATCCTGCCCCTAAGAAGCGTGAAACAGGACCCTAACCCTTATGGGTTTTGACCATTTCCATTGCATTACCTGGGTCTACAAAGCCAACATCCACATACAGCTTGGCACAATAGGAGCCTATCAGTAGACCAAACAGAGGGCCCAAGACAGTTGCTATCTGCAGGCAGCCTAGCAGCAGAGGGAGAGGCAGAAGAATATAAAAAAACAAGTTATTGTCATATTTCACGCAGCCATTTGTTTGGCTTCCTGTCCTCAACATCTGAAGGACTGGTTTTTAGAATACCAATGCAGGATCTCACCAGCACTGAAATATAAAATAGACCTCCAGGCACCATCATCATCTGTATTAAAAGTGAACTCATTACCCTTACATAGTGAAAATGGGGGGGGGGGAGCACAAAATGGAGGCAACTGCAGGCTTGGAGGAACCCAAAGGTTAGAAGTGCAAAAGCAATCTTAAGGGGGGAACCCGAAAGTTTGTCTGTGTTATGTACTGAGTTGAATAGGATCCAAAATGCAGCAGTCTGATTGGTCCTAGAACAATAGGATTCAGAATGCAGCAGTCTGATTGGCCCTAGAACAATAGGATTCAGAATGCAGCAGCCTGATTGGTCCTAGAACAATAGGATTCAGAATGCAGCAGTCTGATTGGTCCTAGAACAATAGGATTCAGAATGCAGCAGTCTGATTGGCCCTAGAATAATAGGATCCAGAATGCAGCAGTCTGATTGGTCCACAGGAGCCAGCCAATCCAGCTCCAGGTGGAAGTGGATCCGCAACCTGATTGGCCTACAGGTGAATCCCGGAATTAGCCAATCACGTGGGGCCCATTGTGTAAATAATGTATATAAAGCAGACATTCTGGGGGAACTTCCATTCCTCCTCACCACTATGAGCTGAATAAAGAGCATGAAATCCACTCTTGACTCTGTGTATATATCAGTCTGGAACCAGAACAGCTCAACGTGCACAGAATACTGGCTGGCTATTGGGAGATGGAAGTGACACAGAATCTGTGGTATACACTATCTGCTGGAAAGCACCATCCATGGCTCCAACATTTATGTATTCTTTATTCGTTTATTTATTGCCCTCTGTTCGCCTTAAGGTCCCAGGGCAAGTTACACCATTAAAACACAACTTAACACTGATAAAAATGAGGTAGGTCATGGCAATATATACCTCAAGCATTAGAAGCCAGGGTAAAGAGGTATATCTTCATTTGTTCCAAATGATCAACTTCCACTGAGTGGGATTTGCCTTCTGAATAAATATGCAGAGGACGGCACCATGAGCATCCCCCAAAATGTACTTTTTCTAAGGCATTTGTAGTCTCCCTTTTGATCCAAAGCCAGAATGACTCTATGGAAGAAACCAATTCACACCATAAAGCTCTTTAATGCCACTTTAAGCAGTCGTAAAGGTAAAGGGACCCCTGACCATTAGGTCCAGGTGGGTCAACTCTGGAGTTGCGGCTCTCATCTCGTTTTACTGGCTGAGGGAGCCAGCGTACAGCTTCCAGGTCATGTGGCCAGCATGACTAAGATGCTTCTGGCGAACCAGAGCAGCGCACGGAAACGCCATTTACCTTCCCGCCAGAGCAGTACCTATTTATCTACTTGCACTTTGATGTGCTTTCGAACTGCTAGGTTGGCAGGAGCAGGGACCGAGCAACGGGAGCTCACCCCGTTGTGGGGATTCGAACAGCCGACCTTCTGATCGGCAAGTGCTAGGCTCTGTGGTTTAACCCACAGCGCCATCCACGTCCCTTAAGCTTCACCCAAATAATTCTGGGAGCTGTAGGGTGCTGGGAGTTGTTAGGCAACCCCTGTTCTCTTCACAGAGCTACGGTTCCCAGAGTTCCCTTGGAAGAGGGATTGATTCAACTCCTCTGGAAACTCTGCGAGAGGAATAGGGGGTCTCCTAACAACACTCAGCATCCTTGACAAACCACAGCTCCCAGAATTCTTTGGGGGAAGCTATGGTTGCTTAAGGGATGCGGGTGGCGCTGTGGGTAAAACCTCAGTGCCTAGGACTTGCCAATCGCATGGTCGGCGGTTCGAATCCCCGCGGCGGGGTGAGCTCCCATTGCTCGGTCCCTGCTCCTGCCAACCTAGCAGTTCGAAAGCACGTCAAAGTGCAAGTAGATAAATAGGAACCGCTTACCAGCGGGAAGGTAAACGGCATTCCGTGTGCTGCGCTGGCTCGCCAGATGCAGCTTGTCACGCTGGCCATGTGACCCGGAAGTGTCTGCGGACAGCGCTGGCTCCCGGCCTCTAGAGTGAGATGAGCGCACAACCCTAGAGTCTGTCAAGACTGGCCCGTACGGGCAGGGGTACCTTTACCTTTACCTTTTATGGTTGCTTAAAGCATCATCTTTGTGCTTAAAATGTATGCCGTGCATGTGGTCCAAGTGTATCTAAGAGCTTGGTTTGATTTTTAAATCCAACACACAATACTGAGGAAGGGTCTTTTTCAGGTTTACCGATGTAGAAAGGAGAGTTTTCTGTCCTTGCGAAATCCTCCACATACGAAATCCCCAAAGGAGCGATGGGAGTTTCACCAACTCCCCGGATGATGTTTCCCACCAGCACAAAAACCCACATCAAGGATCCAGCCTGTTTTCGACATTCTGGGCATAAAAGAAAGAAAGGAAAATCTCCATGGAGGATTTTTGCCGGTAATGAAATACTTTAATGCTCCCCATTCATCCGTAACCAGATGCTCCTGGCAAGGTGACTCGTTCCTGTCGTTCCTGTCCCTGAATTCAGAAGTTAAATCAGCTGATTGTGCATTGTTCTGCATATTGTTTTACTTCCCCCATTCCCTTTTGTGCTGGGGCAGAAGCAGAGAACCTGTGGCCTCCCAGAATGTTGCTGGACTTCCATCATCTCTTGCCTGTATACTTGAAGGAGCGTCTCCACCCCCATGGTTCAGCCTGGACACTGAGATCCAGCACCGAGGGCCTTCTGGCGGTTCCCTCATTGCAAGTTTACAGGGAACCAGGTAGAGGGACTTCTTGGTAGTGGCGCCCGCCCTGTGGAACGCCCTCCCATCCGATATCAAGGAAATAAGCAGCTATCCTATTTTTAAAAGACATCTGAAGGCAGCCCTGTTTAGGGAAGCTTTTAATGTTTAATAGGTTATTGTATTTTAGTGTTCTGTTGGAAGCCACCCAGAGTGGCTGGGAAAACTCAGCCAGATGGGTGGAGTATAAATAATAAATAATAAATTATTATTATTATTATTATTATTATTATTATTATTATTATTATTATGGTGGCAGTTAGAGTGCAGGGACATCTTGAAGCCACAATTTCTCCATCTCTCTCCTAAGGAGGTCACTGCCAATCTGGCTTCCATTGGCTTAGCATACCCTCCAACATTTCTCCAATGAAAATAGGGACGTTCTATTCCATGATAACAATTTTATACACACACACACACACACACACACACACACCCCTGCCCATCTGACTGTGTTGCCCTCAGCCACTCTGGGTGGCTTCCAACATATATAAAAACATAACAAAGCTTTAAACATTTAATTTTTTAAAAAAAACTCCCTTCAGATATCTTCTAAAGGTTGTATAATTATCTCCTTGGCTCAGAGGTTGCATAACTCCATACCCTCCAACATTTCTCCAATGAAAATAGGGACGTTCTAAGGAAAACCTTCGGCTGATCGCCGAAGAATTGATGCTTTTGAATTATGGTGCTGGAGAAGACTCTTGAGAGTCCCATGGACTGCAAGAAGATCAAACGCATCCATTCTTAAGGAAATCAGCCCTGAGTGCTCACTGGAAGGACAGATCCTGAAGCTGAGGCTCCAGTACTTTGGCCACCTCATGAGAAGAGAAGACTCCCTGGAGAAGACACTGGTGCTGGGAAAGATGGAGGGCACAAGGAGAAGGGGGCGACAGAGGATGAGATGGTTGGATAGTGTTTTTGAGGTTACCAGCATGAGTTTGACCAAACTGCGGGAGGTAGTGGAGGACAGAGGTGCCTGGCGTGCTCTGGTCCATGGGGTCACGAAGAGTCGGACACGACTAAACGACTAAACAACAACAACAAGGAAAACCTGCACATTCCAGGATCAAATCAGAAAATGGGATGGCTTCTGGTAAAGCCAGGACTGTCCCTGAAAAATAGGACACTTGGAGTGTCTGAGTTATTTTATGGGGTTAAATCTTCAGGTGGCAAAATATCCTGAGCCCTGCAGTGGAGCCGCTGAATCACACACAAAGAAAATATATGTGCTGGTGCTATGGCACTGTCTGTTCCCACACCCATTCCAACTCTCAGCCACCAGTCACACAGGAAGGTAGATGAGAAACATGATTCAGTTCTCATTTAAAGTCGACCTAACCAAATTCGCATTTTCTGAAACAATAGACTGAATTTTGCAGGGCAGTTTTCCAGCCAAGTGATATGTTCAAAAATGCATTTACTGTGGTAAAGTGTGTATATAAATGCATACATCAGTGACTATAACATACAACAATGCATTTTTTTAGGGGAAATGGCTTGCCCAAAATGTATACATTAGGCAAAATTGTGCACAAACATGTGTATGTATAGCAGGAGAAATTAGCACAAAAATGCTGGATTCTCATGAGCACATTTTTAAAAAATTAAAAAAAGCAAATGGATGTAGAAATGGGGAGAGCTCAGCTGAAGACTGGAAAAAGCTGGAGAAAACGAGAGAAACCCAAAATGGCAGATTTGGCCATTCCTAGACACAGGTAGAGTAGGCATCAAAAACACGACAAAAACACAAGAAAAGCTGGCATCTACAAAGGCAATACAGTGGTAACTTGGGTTACATATGCTTCAGGTTACATACGCTTCAGGTTACAGACTCCGCTAACCTAGAAATAGTGCTTCAGGGACTTCCGGCGGAGCGCGTCCTCGGAGCGAGAAGGGATTTGGCAGAGAGCGCAAATCCCGCCATACAAGGGGAGGAAAAAGGGGGTGCCGAAGGGCGCAAAGCACCCCGCTACGCCTCAGGAGAACATCCAGAGGTGCCGGGGGCCAGCGGAGACCTGTCGCGCCGTCAGGTAACCTCTAGAAGAGGCGAAGAGCACGGCGGTGTCGAGGAGCAGGTCCGGAGGCCATTACACCCTCCCAGGTAGCGGAAAGCCCCGTTCTCACCGAGGGCTGCGCTCCGTTCTCAAAATAGAAGGAACCGGGGAGTAAGTCAATGATTGGGGGCTAGAGTTTTTGAAAAAACAGAGAAACCCGGTGGAGACAATTTGACTACTGAGTTCAGCCTCTATTCGAAATCAGCGAACACGCATGGAGGAGCAGAGCACGAAAGAACAGTGAGTGCCTCTAGCGATACTTTGTTTCTCTGAAAAGACATTTGTAGGAACACCAGGCTTTTGATTAAAACAGAGAACGGAAGAGTAAAGCTTTACAGCAATATTGCTGAAAGTATTAAGGGGGGAAGCGAGGAGGGAAGCGAAGAGGAGATTTACTTGAGAGTAGGAAGAGCTGACGCTGCCAGGAGAAATGGAAGTGCTGCAGCGACCATTTTACACCAAATTTACGTACCTTTACAACGCGATTTTGGACGTCCTACAGCTTCCCTTGGCTCCCCTGCATACCCATCCCTTTGTGGACTTCTCGGACTTAGCAACAATTTGGTGTGGATTTTACATCATATTTAATTTTGAAAATTGACTCTCCCCGCTGCAGACAGACCCTCCAGGCTGCCGCCCAGACTACTTGGAGGATAGAGAGATCTCAGTAAAGAACAGCAGCGTAATATTAGAGGGAGCCGCCTGGTGGCCAGAGCACAATATTACAACTTAGAACTTCTTTGTGTCATCTACTGGAATATTTTTGCTGTTCTGTCCCTGCTTTCCCCTTGGAATATCTCAGCTGTTTCATAATTGTTTCTGGCTCCTCTAAAACGTAAGCCTTAAGATTTGATAAGATACAAAGCTATAACTCCTAAGATCTTCTCTAAGTCAACTTTATTCCTTAGATTTCATATATTCCATACATTTAAGAGAGAACTAAAATATAAGAACCTGTCTCCCTCCATAAAAAAAAAAAGAGGATACTGTAAAAATCACCTCCAGGTTAGCCTAAGGACAATCTAAGGACAATCTAATAACCTGAATACTTTGAATATACTAGGGGGAGCCACAAAGGATAAACGGACACTGTCCAACCGGTTCAACGGTGTAACGGCCATTAAGAACTCAGGATCTTGGACACTCTGCATTGCGGACTTCGGGCTTATTGCATTTGGGGGGTATTAGCAACGCACATTAATTGTGGGCTGTTATAACTTCACTTACTTTCATTGATTGTATACGGATAACTGTACTGTTACCCAATTTTTGCATAATATTCGGCATTGTTTAATACCTTACAATGTCTAATACGGGGAAAAGACCAGAAGGGGGAACACCAGGGGATAGGAAGGGATCGAAACAAGAAAATGACTTCAAAGCAGACATTCTAAGAATGTTTGCGGAGATCAGACAAAGTGAGAAAAACCTTGAACTTAAACTAGAACAAGTAGATAATAGAATTGGGAAGATGGACAAAAAGATAGACGAAACAGTCAATGAATTGAAAGGTCAGCTGAAGGAGGTATTTAGGAGGACGCAAGCGGTGGAAGATGGTTTGAAAAAGACGAGGTTAGAAATGAAAGATGTAAGACGAGAGGAAGATAGGATAAAAGCCGAGATTTCAGATTTGAATAAGAATCAAGAGGAAATGAAAGATTTGATTGCTATGAATGAACTAAGACAGAAAGAAGTTAATTTAAGGTTAAGAGCAGTGCCAGAAACCCAAGGTGAAGATATAAAAACGAAATTAATAACAGAATTAGCTACATGGCTGGAGATCCCAACAGAAGAGATGGCAAATGCAATACAATCGGCTTTTAGACTAAAAACCAAATCAGCCAAGAATAAGAGATTTGTAGGAGACTGTTTAGTTGTATTTAAAGAAAGGGAAATGAGGAATATGATCCTGCAAAAAAATAAGGAAAAAAGGCTGAATATTGGCGGAAACTACATCATAATCTTTAAAGACATCCCAGTCAGGCTGCTCAAACGCAGAGACCCATATAAAGAATTAGTACAGGCTCTGAAGAGGGTTAACATTGAATTTAAATGGGAGTTCCCCGAAGGAATCTCATTTACTTACAGAAGCAAGAGGCAAAAATTAACGAGCCCAGAAGAGACTAGCAAATTCTTAAGGAAGTATAAAGAACTGAAAGTTCATAAAGAGGAAGACAAAAGTGAGGAGATAGAAAGAAAGGCAGATTCAGAAGAAGAAACAGAGAGGTTAGGGGGAGAGGAAGAGGAAGAGGAAGAAGGAGGGGAAGGTAAAATATAAAGAGGGGTGGTAGACACCTCTACAGGTAAACAAAATGGCGTTAAAGATTTGGAGTTGGAACATCAACGGGATGAATGATAAGAAAAAGAGGAATAAAACCGAGCATATTTTAAATAAAGAAAGTTTAGATATCATATGTTTACAAGAGACCCACATAGCAAGGAAACACAAAAGAATTTTGATTAACAAAAGACTGGGAAACGAATTTGCATCGTTAGATAAAAGGAAGAAAAGGGGGGTGATCATTTATATAAGGAAACAGCTGGAAGCACAACAAATATATAAAGATGAAGAAGGGAGGATAGTAGTAGTCCAAATTAAATGGCAAGGAGAAAATGTAATAATAGTGGGGATATACGCACCAAATAATAATAAAGCAGAGTTCTACAGAATGTTAGAAGAGAAGTTAAGTGAATATGCGGACCAGAAAATAATACTATTAGGGGACATGAATGGAGTGGTGTCACCGAACATTGACAGGCTAAGGGAGGGAGAAGGTATGGAAGGAAAACTACCTCAGACATTCTTCTCACTGGTTAACAACCTTAATTTGGTGGACGTATGGAGATTTAAATTCCCCCTAGAAAAACAGTATACCTTTCATTCGGAACCACACGATTCCTTTTCTAGAATAGACCAGATATGGGTATCGGCAGAACTAGTGCCAAGAGCTACTAAGGTTGAGATTCTCCCTAAAACGATTTCGGATCATAATGCAGTAAAACTGGAACTGAAAGGGTTGGAAGAAAGACCATATAGATGGAAAATGAAAGACTACCTGCTAGATGATTTAGAGATCATAGAGAAAGCAAAGAGAAAGTTAAAAGAATACTTTGAGGATAATCTAGGTAAAGGGACCAAGATGAAGGTGGTGTGGGACGCAGGCAAGGCGGTGATGAGGGGATTCTTCATCCAACAAAGTGCAATTAAGAATAAAAAAAGAGAAAGAGGGAAAAAAGAAATTTTACAGCAAATAATGGATAATGAACAAAAATTAGTTGAAAATCCGAAAAACAAGAGGATAAAAGAAAACATCAAGATCCTACAGTCGCAACTGGCACTGCTGCTAAATAGAGAAATAGAATGGAAGGTTAAAAAATTAAGGCAAAAAACTTTCGAACATGCTAATAAATCAGGAAAGCTTCTAGCTTGGCAACTAAAAAAAAGGAAAGAACAGAATACAATAAACAAGATTGTGGTGGAGGGAGAAGTGAAAAGTAACCCCAAAGAAATAAGAAAGGCCTTTCTGGACTTCTATAAAGATCTCTATAAAAATAGCGAAAACAATAATTTAAGGAAAATAGAAGAATATTTAAAAGGGAAGAGCATCCAAAAGATTACGTTACAGGAGAAAGAAAAACTGAGTGCACTAATAGAGACAGATGAAATTAAAGATATAATAAAAGATTTTAAAAAAGGGAAAGCGCCAGGCCCAGATGGGTATACTGGGAGGTACTATAAAGAAATGGAGTCAATTTTGTTGACTCCAATGCAAGAAGTAATGAATAACATCCTCAAAGAAAGAGAACTACCTGAGACGTGGAAGGAAGCTCTAATTACCTTAATACCTAAACAAGACTCAGACTTACAACAGACCAAAAATTATAGACCGATCTCCCTATTAAACAGAGATTATAAGATCTTCGCGGGAATCCTAGCAAAGAGATTGAAAAACATACTGAGAAAAAGTATTCATAGAGATCAAGCCGGCTTTCTGCCGGGAAGGTATATGAAGGATAATATAAGGAATGTGGTAAATATTATAGAATATTTATCGGATAGATGTGATAAACAAGGTATGTTGTTATTTGTGGATGCAGAAAAAGCATTCGACAATTTAATTTGGGATTTCCTACTGAAACAACTGGAGTATATGGAGGTCGGTGCTGAGTTCTATAACGGGGTAAAGGCTATTTATACGGAACAGAAGGCCAAGATGATAATAAACAGTGTGGAGACCTCAGAAATAAGAATAGCAAAGGGTACAAGACAAGGATGCCCTCTGTCCCCACTGTTGTTTATTATGGTGTTAGAAGTTTTATTAAACTCAATAAGAGGAAACAGAGGGATAAGAGGGATAACAGTTGGGCAGAATGAATACAAAACAAAGGCGTTCGCGGATGACCTGGTCATAACAATGGAGGACCCACTAAACTCAACAAAAGAGGTACTTGAAGAATTTGAACAGTTCGGAAAAGTAGCCGGTTTCAAATTAAATAAGAAGAAAACCAAAATTATTGCAAAAAACATGGAGCCAGACAAAATTGAAGAATTACAAAATGCAACAGGGATAGAGGTGACTGGGAAAGTTAAATATTTGGGAATATGGATAACACCAAAAAATATAGATCTCTTCAAAAACAATTACGATACTGTATGGAAAGGGGTTAAGAAAGATATAGAATCATGGGGCAGGTTGAAAATTTCATTCTGGGGTAGAATAGCTACAATTAAGATGAGTGTTCTCCCAAAAATGCTATTCCTTTTCCAGAACATTCCTGTTATTAGGGGTACAAAGATCTTTAAGGAATGGCAGAAAGCGATTTCGAAATTTGTCTGGCAAGGCAAGAAGCCAAGGATCCAATATAAGTTATTGACAGACGTGAGGGAAAGGGGGGGCTTTGCCCTACCTGATTTAAAATTATACTTCGAGGCAGCTTGCCTTTGCTGGATTAGAACTTGGATCAAATTGGAAGATAGGGAGGTGTTAGACTTAGAGGGATTCAATATTAGGTTTGGGTGGCACGCCTATCTTTGGTATGGGAAGAGGAAAGTACACAGGGGTTTCGGGAATCATATCTTTAGAGGTCCACTGATTGAGGTGTGGGAAAGGAATAGAGAGGTGTTGGAACCTAAAACACCCCACTGGCTATCGCCGCTAGAAGCGACGAGTGTCAGCAAAATAAACAGGGAAGATAACTGGCCTACATACGAGCAACTGTTAACGAAAGAAGAAGGGAAATGGAAACTAAAGCCGTATGATCAGATTAAGGAGAAAGTGTATGATTGGTTGAAATACTTTCAGCTAAACGAGATGCTTAGAAAAGATATCACAGACAGAGGATATGCCGACAAAGACTCTAGATTCCAGACCGAAATATTGAACAACAATTACAGAATTCTATCTAAAATGTATAACCTGTTGCTTGGCTGGAATCTAATAGATGAAGAAGTAAAGTCAGTAGCAATCCACTGGGCGAGAGACATTGGCCATAACATATATGCTGAAGAGTGGGAGAGGCTCTGGAAAATACACCTCAAGTTTACAGCCTGTGTGACACTGAAAGAGAATTTAATGAAAATGTTTTACCGTTGGTATCTAACCCCTGTAAAATTAGCTAAAATGTATGGGATTTGCAACAAATGTTGGAAGTGCAGAGAAAGGGAGGGGTCCCTTTACCACATGTGGTGGGAGTGCCAAAAAGTTAAAGAGTTCTGGGAGGGGGTGTATAACGAACTGAAAAAAATCTTGAGATATACTTTCGTTAAAAAACCGGAGGCGTTCCTGTTGGGAATGATAGGGAGGGAGATAAGAAAGAAAGATCATAGGCTCTTTCAATATGCAACAGCGGCTGCAAGAATCTTGATAGCTCAAAACTGGAAATCCGAGAATTTGCCGACAATTGAAGAATGGAGAGCAAAATTGTTAGATTATGCGGAGTTGGATAAGATGACAGGGAAAGTAAGATATTATAAAGATCAGAGGTTCATTGAGGAGTGGGAAAATTTCACGAATTATCTGGAAAATTTGAGTGAAGGACAGATAACGCTAGAGGGATTTAAAAGAGCTCTGTAAAAGGGAAAAAAAGGGTATTGTCAGAGAGAAAGAGAAGAACCAGGGCGGTTACTGACAATACAATGTAATGAAATGCGAAGTTTTATAAGAATATCATGGATGATTTATGGAAGGGTTGAAGGAAGTCGTTTTATTTGTGAAGATGAGAAGCAACTGTTATGTTTTGTATCTTTTTATTTGCAAATTAATAAAAATTACGTGGCAAAAAAAAAAAATAGAAATAGTGCTTCAGGTTAAGAACAGAAATCGTGCTCCGGCGGCGCGGCAGCAGCAGGAGGCCCCATTAGCTAAAGTGGTGCTTCAGGTTAAGAACAATTTCAGGTTAAGTACGGACCTCCAGAACGAATTAAGTACTTAACCGGAGGTTCCACTGTACAGTAGAAAGAAAGACAGTGAGAAATGAATCTAGGAAGGAATCTCACCTTCTGAGGATTGTTCTGTCGCCATGGAAAACTGGCTATGATTTGCAAGGCAAACAGCTATGGTTGAAGAATTTTCAGATACAGAAAGAGAGTTTTCATAGCGGTACCTGTGGAGTCAGAATAAAATGTACACATGAAATGAATGTGGCTCAGTTGCAGACCATTTGCAGTGCATGCAGAAGGTCCCAGGTTCATTCCCTGGTGTCTCCAGGTCTGGTAGGGAGAGATTCTCTGTCTCAGGCCCTGAAGAGTTCCTGCCAGTCATTAATAGATAATACTGAGCTAAATAGACCGGTGTTCTGACTGGGTGCAAGGTAGCTTCCAATGTTCTTGTGGCTACACATTACAGAAACAGATCAGTAGTTATGGGTGATGAGAGTAGCATCCTTTTATATAGATTTACCCAGTACTTTTTTTCTGGGGGGACGCATACCCCTAAACATTTTGTGAATTTTTGTACTTTTGTCCATTTACTGTATTTGTTTTTCCCGATTTGAACTATAAAATTGTGGTTTTCTTGAGTCAAAATGCGAGGACCCTTAAACATTTTTTAAGAAAAAAAGCACTGGATTTACTGATCAGCTGTGCTCAGGTGCCCATCTTCCAGGAAACCTATCTGGTAAAACCAGCACTGCATTTAGGATGGCATGGGCAGTTACCCCCATAGGGTGCCAAATCGAGGGGGTGCAAAACTGAGAAGATCCCTTTGGACGATTGGCTGCAATGACCTGTTGGTAGTTCCACATGCTTTGCATCAGCCTTCAGAAACCACCTGTGCAACTCCCTGCATTATGTGCAAACATTCCATATACCGTATTGGCCCGAATATAAGATGCACCCACAAATAAGCTGCAACTTTAAAATTCAATATTTATTTGTGGGTGCAACCCGCCTCCCGGCACTACTGCCCTGAATGGGGGGGGTGGCGCCCTGCTCCCCAAGCCAGCGCCAGCGCTTGGTTCCGACCACGCTGTGCCCCTGCTTTCTGGCACTACCTCCCCAAGCCGGTGCTGGCTGCCCCGTCCCCTGTTCAGGGCGGTAGTGCCAGAAGGTGTGTGTGCAGAGCTCAGTTCTGAATATAAGCCGCACTTTAACTTTTCACAGTCCGAATTTGGGGAAAAAAGTGTGGCTTATATTCTGGCCAATACGGTGTTTTCTCTCGTGATGTGCTGCGTTCTGGGACATTGTTCATTCTCTCTGCTTCCATGATCAAACTGCTTGCTAATGCAGCAAAAACAACATGGGAGGCAGCAGTGGTGAGTTACCAGTCTCTGCAACCACAGCAGGTGCTGTGATTCTGCAACGGTTTGTCTTCAACCCGGAGAGCGCAATCCATTGCTCTCAAGAGAGACGGATACCAACAAGCATACAACTTCCCCCCAAAAAAACTCGTATTAAAGATACCTTTCTAATAACATCTGCAAATGTATTTCTTAAATGTTTACACTGATTTTATACATATACATACAACTCTCTCACCATCAAAACACTGATATTATAATTAAAATCTTATTAATCAGAGGCCCCTTACTACCTGCTTCTGCAGATTTATTTCTTAATTCTTCCCCTTTAATTTGATGTTCAGGTGTGCATGGGATAAATGGGGTGGGGTTGCATATTCAATGTTATTTCAAGGAGAAGAGCCCAAGGTTCCAACAGGAGCAGATAGACAGGTATACCTTGGAAGTATGAGTAATGGGGTTTACCTTCCCATCAAGAAATGAGGTAGCGCTATCAGAAAACATCCGAAACCCATAACTATGCAACCAATAGCAATCATGCGTGGTCTGTGGAGTTTTGATCCCAAGTAGCTCACAAAGGGTATCACCAGCAAGTTGCCTGTGGAAATAGAGAACATAGACTATCATCCGTCCAAAGTTATTCACTCTTCAGTCCCACGAGTCTCAGTAGGAGAGTTAGGCAAAGGCAGTCCAAGCTATTTGGCTGCCCTAAACACCTCATCCAATTGCTCCCCTTGAAGTTGCCTCCACAATCTTGTGGGATCCAGGATGGGGATTCTGTTTCTTGTGTGCAAGCAGGACCCGAGTGCAAGCGCACTTTCCCCTCCTGCAGTTTCCAGCAATTTATATTCAGAAGCATACTGCCTTTGACTGTGGATGAAGAACATAACAATCGTGGCTACTAGCCATTGAATGAGCTAATAGTGTTCTCCTAATAAGGCGTTATTCTCACGCTTTGTAACAATTTGGTGACAATCTGTCTGGCTCTCGGAGAGAGTGTTTTGAGCTACCAATGACTCTGGATCGATTTGGGTCAATCCAACCTGCTCCAGAACAATCCAGACTTTCTTCAACCTGATCTGGATTCATCCCAAATTGTCTCAATTCAGTTCAGGGATGGGCTTTTCTGAGTTGCACCGTCCTAGCATGTAGCTCACTAAAGTGAGCTTTCATTTCTTTTCTAGAACAGTAGCTCTGTTGGTCTGTTGTACTAATCTTTTTATACACCCTGCATATACCGTATTTTTCACTCTGTAAGACGCACCAGACCACAAGACGCACCTAGTTTTTGGAAGAGGAAAACAAGAAAAAAATATTCTGAATCTGAGAAGCCAGAACAGCAAGAGCGATATCTGTGCAGTGAAAGCAGCAATCCCTCTTGCTGTTCTGGATTCTGTGATAGCTGCGCAGCCTGCATTCGCTCCATAAGACGCACACACATTTCCCCTTACTTTTTAGGAGGGAAAAAGTGAGTCTTATAGAGCAAAAAATACGGTACTTTTGAGAGTGATCCCCCATCATTCTCAATGGGGTTTACTTCTGTAAAGACTTGCGTAAGTTTGGGAATTCAAGGTAGCCATGGCGAAGATAATAGCAGAGTGGTCTTTATTCTAGATAGTTCAGAACACTTTTGTCTCTAGCTCCACCTATCTGCCAATCAAAGGCATGTGGCTCTCAACAGGTTGCAACTCAAGGGATGTGGACCTCGCCAGGAGAAACGGATGTCCACTATTCCTGGATTGGTCTTTCTATGCATTTAGACATGCCTGTTAAGCTATGGTTGAATTCTCATCAACCTTTTCACTTGCGTACCCATTTCAAAGCTTCCATTTATCACACCAACCAACGAGGCAGGGATGTTGAAACGCCGTTCAATCTGTGTGAGCATGCTGTTCATGTAAGCCCCAGACATGGTCTTGGCGAGATAAGCAAAAGATAGCGACACCAGAAAGACCTAGAAGAGAAAGTGGAGAACTCATTAAATCAACAATAGGACCTTGTTTGGTGGATTCAAAGATCGTCGAGCTCTTGAAATTGCAAGGTGAAAGGCTGGCGTAAATGTTATCCTGTAATTTAGGGTGGAAAGGTATGGAGAGAGGCATGAATATTCACATACTTCACCTCCTGACTCCATCCAATCGTAGCCAAATGGAATGGGGTTAGGCACATGCACACACAAATCTTGCAACACTTGCAAATCTTGATGGTCAATGTCATGGGCTGGATGGATGCAAAGGAGTGGTGGGAGGCACCAGCTGGGGAACCCTCAGGGGAAGAAGGCTTAGAGCCAGGGGCAGACAATGAGTGGCCAGAGGGAGAAGAGGGAGCAGACTGGGAGGAGGAGGTGTTAGAAGTTGAAGAGGCAACAGGGTTTAGTGAGGAGGAAGAGGCTACGGCAGAGAGCAGTTCAGAAGCAGAGGCAGAAGCAGAGGTGGGTCAAGAGGCAGAGAGGAGGCACACTGCTGAAGAGGCCAGGGAATCTCCCCCTCCTGGTGTGACCAGCTCACCTCCTCCCGGGTCTCCCAGAACCAGAAGATGAATAAAGAGAGCAGAGCAAAGAGAGATAAGGCGACAAAGCCTGAGGAGGAGGAGCCTTCGAGAGTGCTGGGAAGGTGTGGTCCTTCTGTTCTTGCAACTGTCTCCTTGAGGCAAGACCTACTGGGAAGAGTTGCTGTGACCACAGGGTTTATTTGAATAAAAAGTTAACTTCACTGACAGCCATGGCTTTATTGCTGACCTGCTCCTGACAGTTGGCAAGCTCTGTGAGTGTGCATGTGTATGTAATTGCCCTTTTCTCTGTGCATGTGAACAATTTCCATAGGCGTATGTGAAATTGCCCCTTTCTTGGTATGTGATTGCTTCATTCCCCATGTGTGTGATTGCCCCCTTCCATGTGTGCATGCAAAATTACCTCTCCTCTCTGAGTCTGATTGACCCTTTCTCTCTGTGTTATATTGCCCCCTTTCCGGTCCTCCCTAATAGGACACTGAGAACGACCCTGGGTCTACTTGACACAAAGTGAGAAACAACAGTGTCATGTTTAATCCCAAGGCTTAAAGAGGCCATGGAAATCCAGTACTGATAAGCCTTAATCCCATTAGTTCTGCTTGGGACCACAGACAGACCATAAACCTGACACCCAGAACGCAATTCAGTCGGCTGTCCTTCTCTTCCTTTATCCCATGCCTATGGAGTCGATGCCAAGCACTTAAATCTCGAGAAGCGGTGCCCTTAAGGAAACCGGATAAACTGTGGTCTTTGCTCCTTCCTCTGGTTTTCTCATATAAACAAATTAAAGGATAAAAGGGGGGGGGGTTAAAAGATGAACTAAGGCTTATGGACACAAATGGTTAGAAGCCCAACTTTTATACTATACAAGTAAATCCAGCCTATGCCTACCTGCCGTCTTACTTACAACCAGTCTAGGGCAGGCATAGTCTTGGCTTCAGTCTTGCACCATATAAAGGAGGCAGGCAACACTAGGTTGAGGTGGCTCCATCTACAATTGGTTCTGGCTCCATCTATTCCCTGCCTTCCACCCCATTGGTCCCAATGGGACCAGACTACCATATAAAGTAAGAAGAACCACAGCCAAGGTTCCACCAACTTTTGCCTCTGGCCCTGCCCACAATCAGCATGTGGCTCATGGGAAAGTTACCCATCAGAGAATGTGGCCCTTGGTTGAGAAGAGTTCCTCACTCCTGATCTATCCAATGTTTGTGGGTGGACGTGGGTGGCGCTGTGGTCTAAACCACAGAGCCTAGGGCTTGCCGATCAGAAGGTTGGCACTTCGAATCCCCTGACGGGGTGAGCTCCCGTTGCTCGGTCCCTGCTCCTGCCAACCTAGCAGTTCGAAAGCACGTCAAAGTGCAAGTAGATAAATAGGTACCACTCCAGCGGGAAGGTAAATGGCATTTCCATGCGCTGCTCTGGTTCGCCAGAAGCGGCTTAGTCATGCTGGCCACATGACCCAGAAGCTGTACGCCGGCTCCCTCGGCCAATAAAGCGAGATGAGCGGCGCAACCCCAGAGTCGGCCACGACTGGACCTAATGGTCAGGGGTCCCTTTGCCTTTACCTTTACCTATCCAATGTAAGGGCTGGTTAGCAAATACTGCTTGATTTATGTTAATACAATTACCGTTTTCCTCGCTTGCTTTGCTCTTGAATTGTTAATGAGTATCTTAAATTAGAATCCTTGAGTTGAGTACTGCAAGTTTTCTTGGATTATCTAGCCCACACTGACTGTTCTGCTTCATGCTGCTTAATTGAGATAGGAGGGCAGATAACAGACGTCTGCTTTTCTCCCCTTTAACATGCCGTCCGTTCCAATTTCTATGTGCTCGGGTATTTGGATAATGGTCACACAACCATTTGTGTGTAAATTACGCAAAGGGCATCTCTCCTTTGCAAAGGAGGCAGAAACTCAACAGTATTCATTAATTTACAGGATTTAAAGGAAAGTCAACCAACCTTCTTAGGTGCTCAACAACTTTCTCAAGGGGTCTGCGCAGATCCATCCGCAACAAAAGAGTCATAGCATTTTTCTTACCTTCAGCTTGCTCATACAGAATATAGATGGCTCCTTAGCTCCTTTCATTGTGCTTTTTGAATCGGCTGTGGATTCTTCCTTGCGGTTATTTGTATCTGTCCCAGCATCCTTTTAAAGGAAAAAAATGAAAAGAAGTGTACTGGTCATAACAAGACTAAGTTTAAAAATACTATAGATTAGTATGCAAAAATAGCTTGTGGGTGGGGTGGTGGGGTACACAGCTAATAGACTACATTCCCTGCATGTGGGTAGCTATTGTTTACTGGGTCGGATGAGGTGGCAGGGAAGTCAGCGAGGTGCAAACCCATCATTGAAGCCAATCCAATGTTCCCGCCAGTGTGTTTGCACTATGATGACCTCCCTGCCACATCTTCCCTCCCGATAAGCAACAGGGACTCATCTGTCAGACAGCTTGCATATGCAGGAAACTGCTTATGGATGCATGGTGCTTTCAGTTTACCTACCTGGAAATAATCTGCAGTGAAATCAATGGGATTGATGTCTGAAAACATGCATATGATTGGGCTCTTAGGCACACCTGATGTACGTAGGACATAGAGAAACTATTGATCTTGGTCCATGCATAAATACCCATAATTAACAGCAAGCTGATAGGTCTATAATTTCCTTGGTCATTGGCTTGACTCTTTTAAAAAATGGGCATGACTACTACTGCTCTCTTTCAGCTAGAAGGAATGATACCAGAACTATTTATTGTAGTAAAAAGGGCAGCCGCCAATGTTGGTTTGCTTTTATAAGCTACAAAGGAAGACAGGGCCTCACTTGGAAAAGTGCCAATTCTGCAGATCAAAGCGATTGTGTGGACACATATGGAGTAAAATGATCCTTTGAGTAAACTAATCAAATCATTATTCCTGAATATGACAATATAGGGAAATAGAGATATATAGCTAAACACATTGGGTTATACAGTGGTACCTCGGGTTACATACGCTTCAGCTTACATACGCTTCAGGTTACAGACCCTGCTAACCCAGAAATAGTGATTCAGGTTAAGAACTTTGCTTCAGGATGAGAACAGAAATCGTGCTCCAGCGGCGCAGCAGCAGCAGGAGGCCCCATTAGCTAAAGTGGTGCTTCAGGTTAAGAACAGTTTCAGGTTAAGCACGGGCCTCCGGAACGAATTAAGTACTTAACCCTAGGTACCACTGTATCCAACTACTCAAAGCAGACCCACTGAAGATAATGAACCTAAGTTGGCCATATCCATTTATTTCCATAGATCTACTCTGAGTGCCACTAGCATCAGTGACAACCCATTGATTAATGATGCTACTCAAAAACTAGCGCATTCATAAGTCAACTCTAGTAGTTTCATAATTCTTCAAAGCATTGTGAATCCTGATCCAATGATTTTTGAAAATGTTTTCTTAGTTTGCAACAACAAGATTATGAGCAAACAACATGAGATCACAACTGATCATAAAATACCATGATACCGTGATGCATGTGTTGAGAAAGAATGTTGCATTCTGCGTGCCACATTCCCCAGATGCACTTCGGTGATGTGCAATAATTCAGTCACTTTGAAATCTGGTGGTAACAAATAACTTCATAGCAGAAGGTCTCAAGTTCAAGGTCTCCAGCATCTCTAGGTCAGGCTGCTTTGCATCTAACACTGTGAAGGCAGAGTTTTGCTTGCTGAAGGAGACCTCCAGTTCCTCTCCTCCTGCTGCACACTTCCATAAACTACTTCAGAGGGTCCCAGAAAGTGGAACTGATTTGGAAGCGTGGAAGAGGCAAATGATGAAGAGAGCATTCCATCGGTCTGTTGCACCAGTGGAACTTCAGCCATGGACAGTGCCCCCTGTCTGAAACCCTGCCAGAATATTGTTGCATGCTATCCTGATCTCCAGCCAGTTTACAATTCCAGAGCTTCCAGGCACTTACCCGGGATTCAGTTTCCCCGGAATGAGGGAGATGGTAGTGTTTTTAGGCTATATAGTTTATTTACACACATATACAACCTTAGCATATGAAGACCCTGAGGCCCCAAGAAGGTCTTGCTTTTCCCATAGCCACAGCCTTGGATCCAAGCATAAATCAAGCATGTCTCTCCCGCTCAGGTTTCTGCCTGCATCCTGCTTCTAGCCCAGCTCTCTCACACACACACCTCTGGCACAAAGCCACTTCCTTTGTTACCCTAACAACCCATACATAGAGGACCATTAAGTCACCAAGGAGCTGGCCTGGCAATTCCAACAATTGCATCCTTCATTAGATTTTAACCCTTGCTGGATTCAGGAATTAGAAGGGGCTGAGGCATACAGCCTAACACAAACACATCCTGTCCAAACTCACAAGAATCTTGATCTAGATGAGACAGCAGGCTGGCTCAGTATAAGGCAGCTTTCTCTGCTCCTAATTTCCACCCAAGTTTATGCCAGTGGATTTGTAATTCAACAGGCACGTTGCAAATTATACTGGGCTCAATGTGTTCATCACTAATCTTAATATGTGCGGAGAGACCCTCTGCACATCACCCAGAAAGAGAGAGGAAATATGCTGAGCTTCAAAGCATGTACACTGCTGAAACGGCTCTATTTTCTCCATGTCTTGATCCTGCAGGTACCCCTGGCCGTTAGGCCCAGTTACGGACGACACTGTGGTTGTGCGCTCATCTTGCTCTATAGGCCGAGGGAGCCGGTGTTTGTCCACAGACAGCTTCTGGGTCATGTGGCCATCATGACTAAGCCACTTCTGGCGAACTAGAGCAGCGCACGGAAACACCGTTTACCTTCCCGCCGGAGCAGTACCTATTTATCTACTTGCACTTGACGTGCTTTCAAACTGCTAGGTGGGCAGGAGCTGGGACCGAACAACAGGAGCTCACCCCGTCGCAGGGATTCGAACTGCCGACCTTCTGATCGGCAAGCCCTAGGGTCTGTGGTTTAGACCACAGTGCCACCCGTGTCCCTGATCCTGCAGATTCTTACCTAAATAAGCACACCAAGATTCTTTATTCTGGATTCAAATACAAAACCCACATACATCTCTGGACCCAGGTAATACATTTGAGATCCTCTCTCTCCCCTCTCTCAACAATACAAGTTCATTCTCTTATTTAGTCCAAAAGCATAACGGCTTCTGCTGGCTTTTCTTTTTGCTGGGTGCTGCTTGACGTAGGAAGAAGAGGAAAAGGAAGTGAAATAGCTTCATTTAAGGTTAGGCTCAATTACGTTCCTTGAAAAGAAGTGGGGAAGTTTCAGATCCCCCTGAAAAAGATGTGAGGTGGCTTCCCATAACCCTGCTGTGAGGATAATAGCCTATAATGGTCAGGGGAGTAGAGCTAATGGTTGGGAGTTAGTTGGCCATCTGTGTGTTGAGTTTGAGCGATGAGATACCTATCAGAGCTGGGTGATGGGAAGGGGAGGGCACAGGATTGTGAATGAGAATCAAACAATGTTGTTGTTTAGTCATTTAGTCATGTCCGACTCTTTGTGACCCCCTGGACCAGAGCACGCCAGGCACTCCTGTCTTCCACTGCCTCCCGCAGCTTGGTCAAACTCATGCTGGTAGCTTAGAGAACACTGTCCAACCATCTCGTCCTCTGTCGTCCCCTTCTCCTTGTGCCCTCCATCTTTCCCAACATCAGGGTCTTTTCCAGGGAGTCTTCTCTTCTCATGAGGTGGCCAAAGTATTGGAGCCTCAGCTTCAGGATCTGCCCTTCCAGTGAGCACTCAGGGCTGATTTCCTTCAGAATGGATAGGTTTGATCTTCTTGCAGTCCATGGGACTCTCAAGAGTCTCCTCCAGCACCATAATTCAAAAGCATCAATTCTTCGGCGATCAGCCTTCTTGATGGTCCAGCTCTCACTTCCATACATCACTACTGGGAAAACCATAGCTTTAACTATACGGACCTTTGTTGGCAAGGTGATGTCTCTGCTTTTTAAGATGCTGTCTAGGTTTGTCAAACAATAGTTTCCACTTTAGAAGAGACAGGAGAGAGGAGGAAAGAGAGATGACGGCTGAAAGCAACTTTAGACTGCAGTGCCAATTTCTGGGGAGAAGGTCTGCTGGTTTGCAGGAGAGACAGCTGCTTGTTCAAGGTGTTATTATCAGTATGTGAAGCTCTTAGCAACTCGGGACCAGTTTACCTTACCCATTCGACCGCTTCAATCTGCAGAGCTGGTTGCAGGTGCCAAGTAATACTTGCTCTGGCTTTGTAAAGAATCAATATTTCCATGTGGCAGCAGCTGCACATTGGGACTCCCTGCCAACTGTCGAGGCGGGAGTTAGGAGCAGGTCAGCAATAACTCACAAGGTCTCAATGAAGTTAATTCTTTATTCAGAGAAACAAAACAGCTCAGGCTGGATGGGCATAGCAAATCCTCCCAGTAGATCTTGCCTCAATGTGACAGTTGCAAGGACCGAAGAACCTCACCTTCCACTGCTCTCTAAGTCTCCTCTTCCCCCAAGTCCTTCCCAAGCAACCTGAGACTTCTTTGCCTTGTCTGTCTCTGCTCAACCCTCTTCATACGTCTTCTGGTTCTGAGAGACTGGGGGCAGGAAGGGTAGATTGTCGCAGCAGAAGGGGGTGACACCCTGGCTTCTTCAGCAGCCTGCCTCATCTCTGCCTCTTGGCTTCCCTCCTCTCCTGCTTCATCTTCTGATTCTGGACTTCTCTCTGCCACAGAGTCTCCTTGCTCACTAAACCCTGTAACCTCTTCTTCCCACTTTAACCACCAATCTCCAGCTTTCATCCCTTGGGGGATTCCCCGGCTGGTTCCTTCCACCACTCCTCTGCATCCAGCCAGTCCACAACACCAACTGACAACAGGTAGGTGTACTCTTTTTTGGCACCTGCTAAAACTATTTCTGTTTAGGCAAGCCTGCCCAGCTACATAGATTGGTAGGGCAGTGTTGGCTTCCACTGGCACTTTCTCTTCCCAAGAGTGTAGAGCTGCCCCAGGAACTGCTTAGAGAGCAGGACAATACTATTCTCCCCAATGGAAACCATCAAAATATTACACACGTACCATAACAGTTTGGCCGTAGTTGAAAGATCTGCACTGTGCTTTGGGGTGGGCAACCTTTTCCAGCTTAGGCTCAATGGGTGGGGACTATGGGCTTGTCCCACACCTAGAAAGTGGCTTTTTCCCATTGACTCCCACTTTCTATACATGGGTCAAGTGGTTTTGCCTTTGCTCAGCCACCATCCCCTGGGAAACCCATTCTTTAGCGCTAAATCAGAACTAACAGCAATCTGCAGGGAAACCCGGTTGCTGTTTGTTCCAATTCAGCACTAAAGATCAAGTTTCCCGGAGGGAAAGCAGCAGGGCAAATGGAGGTGGGAGCCGTAAAAGGAAGCAGATTTTGGTTAAACATCAGACAAAATGTCCTATGCTAAGAGCTGTTTGGCAAAGCTCTCCTTCACTCAAGATATTTAAGTGGCGTCTGAACAGCTGTTTATTAGAGGCGCCATTCCTCTATCATGCATAGAAGGCCCCGCACTGAGCACAGAGGTAATTTTAGGGCAGCACAACCAGTTCGCCCACACTGAGTGCCGAGCGGAGAGGGCACCTGCGAAGCATTTGCTTGGCTACAGGGAAGAGGCGTGAGGGCTCTGTCAAGGTCCTAGAGTCCACCTTCCCAAAGCCCAGGTGATACTTGCCCAGCATTGGGAAGGAGGTCAGTGGCCTCTAAGACCCTGCCAGAGCCCTCACACTTCCTTCCCAAAGCCTGGCAGGGTGCAAGGACTGGGGGGAGGAGCACCAAATGTTGCGCAAGCTCAAGGTGTCATAGTACCAAACTCCATCCTTGATGTGCAAAAAGTTGTCTATGGTGCTGTGATCTTCTGATTCTATGGCAATGCCTTGCAGAGGTGTACAGTTTGCCTCTCAGCAGCTTCAAGACCCCTTTACACACATGCGCATGCACACACACAAAAATGATGACCGGCATTTTGCTAGTTAACTCGATGTGCCCTCAAATATACAAACCGAATGCTGCGATTTGGAAGCACTGGCTGTTCCTTTAGGGAAAGTTTTAGGTGCAACACGGGAGAGATATCATGCCCCCAATCCCCCACCACACACACACATCATCCCCATTGCAGCGTCGGTTATGAAAATCTGCTTGCCGGAAAATACAATACACAAAAGTCCTGCGAGCTCCATGCCAAGGAATGCTTTAAAAGAACGTCAGGTGTTTTATTTCCCTGAACTTCTGGTTACACAATTATTTTGGACGTTTCTTCAGTCATTAAAGGGAGCAGCATTTTCAGAATGCTTGTACAGTGCGACTCTTTTAATCGCTTGATCTGTTAGTTCAAAGTGAGCCAGCAAAAAAACTAAAACAAAAAAACAACCCAAAACATGCTACAATCTAGGATTTGATGGCATGCAACCTAAAGGCTTTGTGTGTGTGTGTGTTAGAATCTTGCAAATCCCAACATTCTTTAAAATGTTTCTTGAAAAAGGACTCTTCAAGTCCTCATGACTGTAAGATAAATGTAACGTCATATATTCCCTGCGCTAAGCAAGCTTCCCATCTCTGCATCAACCCAAAGCTCTGATCGTTTATTTTTAACATTCCCATTAGATGACTTTTCTCCCCATTTACAATTCTGATCTTCCCTCCCATCTCTTTCCATCTTGTGGCATCTTTATGGCTTTATTGCTATCCATACCTCGGTGATCCTGTTAGTGGCAAATCCATTGGCTTCTCTCCTCAAATCTAACCCATATCGGAGTTTCTTTTGGGATGAAGCCATTGCAGTTGTGGAGCAATGAAAGGATCTCTTACGAGAGACACAAAACCAAGACAACGGGGGAAAGAACAGGACTGAATGTACTTCTTTCTTAGAAGAAGTCTAAGTGAAACTTTTGTTATATTCAGCAGTGACCTGCTGAGCGGGAGAAAGAAACAAGAAACAGGGGGACCTTGAGCCAAAATAAATAACCCAGAAAACTGCCCCATTTCAAGACATGGTCATATCTCTCTTTACAGCTCTCCTCTCTATTCTTGCAAGTGCGTTTCAGACAATAAACTAGGCACAACCTTGGGTTGCCTACCTTGATGCTATCACTCATCTTGGCTTCAGTTTCCATTTCAGACCAGGATCGGACCACACACTACCTGAATGTCTCCTCTGCTCTCTCTTCCTTTTTCAGCTAAGCTTGTAAAAAGACTTGAGTCCTGGGTAATTCCCTAAACAATTTTAATCCCTGCAGGTCTTTGATTACCTTGAGTTCTGGCCAGTCGACTGCCATTAACCCCTAACAGGATCCAAAATGTTGCACTGATGTGCTCATTAAAGGCAAAATATGTACACAGTGAAACTGAGATAATGAACACTGGTCCCTCCAGATGAACTGTTTAACTGAGCATTTGCTTTGCTTTGCTTTCATAAAGCTTGCACAGCAGTTGGGAGTCCAGGGGCAACCAATATGGTGCCTTCTGTTGGACTACAACTCCCATGAGCCCCGGCCAGCATGGCCAATTGTCAGGGATGATGGGAGTTGGAGTCCAACAGCAGCTGAGTGGGCACCAGTATGGACTCCTCCAGGCATCCTTTTCATGACGGCACCAGGACACATGCACAATCTTGCTTTCAATATGGTTTTTACAACTCTTGTCTCATAGAATCATAGAGTTGGAAGAGACCACAAGGGCCATCGAGTCCAACCCCCTGCCAAGCAGGAAACACCATCAGAGCACTCCTGACATATGGTTGTCAAGCCTCTGCTTAAAGACCTCCAAAGAAGGAGACTCCACCACACTCCTTGGCAGCAACAGGAGATTGGACTAAACAGTCCACTAGGTTCCACTGAACTCCACTACAGGCCTACTTTTGCCCATTCCCAGTCTCTGTTTTATTATAAAATGAAATAATAATAAACTTTAAAAAACCCTAAAACACATTTTGCATCCACTAAAAATTGTTGTATACATGCTGTTTAATTTCGGACTGGGGTATGATGTCCTGCAGCTTCCTACTGAAACAGTGGCATAGCATTCATTGCTGGCATCCAGGGCAGGTGTGCAGGCACTGGGCAGGGGGTCATCACTGCCAGAGCAACCTCACCCCCACTGGAGCAAAACTGGGCCAAGCTGAACCGTCTGCCCGCCCACACAGGAGGGAACCTGACTGGTCAATGTGGCCCTTGGCAGGCAGAGAAGAGCACAGGGCCACACCGCACTGGGGGCACTTTCTTCGGGGGGCGGGTTCACATCCCCTCAAAATTTGTGCACCCAGGGGCATGACCCTCAGGCACCACCACACTACGCCCCTGTTTTGAAAACCTAAAAACGGTCCCACCACAAATGTTCCAGGTTTTTCCGTTGTTTCGCTTGGGTTGTGCTATAGCTCCCCTTCTGACAGCAATAATGCAATAAAATTGGGGAAGCATCGGAGAACAACTAATAGAGCAGAATGGTGTGTGTGGACGGTCCATTATAAATCCACCGCTGCTGCGCTGTTATAATGTCAATGGCATTTTGCATAAGACACCCTCAAAAGAACCACAAGTCCACAGAGACCTTATGTGTGGATGAGGGTGGTGCTGTGGTCTAAACCACTGAGCCTCTTAGGCTTGCTGATCAGAAGGTCGGCAGTCTGAATCCCTGCCACAGAGTGAGCTCCCATTGCTCTGTCCCAGCTCCTGACAACCTAGCAGTTCAAAAGCACACCAGTGCAAGTAAATAAATAGGTACCACTGTGGCAGGAAGGTAAACAGCATTTCCGTGCATTCTGGTTTCCGTCACGGTGTTCTGTTGTGTCAAAAGCTGTTTAGTCATGCTGGCCACATGACCCAGAAAGCTGTCTGTGGAAAAATGCCGGCTCCCTCAGCCTGAAAGTGAGATGAGTGCCACAACCCCATAGTCGCCTTTAATTAGACTTAACCATCCAGGTGTCCTTTACCTTTTTACCTTATGTCTGGTCTTTACTGAGTGCTCGATCTGATTTGGTTATAGAGCAGTTGCAGCGCCATCACCCTTCATCCTGAACTCAAACTGATTTGCTTACAATTTTTTTTTTTTACAAACCTTCTTGTTAATCATTCATCAGTCCCACGCTTTGCAGTGCATTTCCCCATCGCTTTTCCAAATGGCAAAAAGTTTGTTTCTTTCCCTTTTTTTCAAAGCAAGTTTATTGAACTTTGCAGCAGAGCTTTAATCCAATGGGCAAACCTAAAGTTCCAGGATGACCCAGAATCCTTCCAGCAAAAGACTGCCAGTCTGGGGGCCAGTGGCGTAGCGTGGGTTGTCAGCACCCGGGGCAAGGCAAGTAATTTGCGCCCCCTAACCCGTGGATTTGCCTAACCCCAAGATGTTGCGCCCGGTGCGGCCGGCCCCCCCTGCACCCCCCACGCTACGCCACTGCTGGGGGCACCTGAATTCACCGCTGGACCCCTTTGTGCAGAACTCATAATGTGGTCTCCCAGGTTAAGGAACCTATTTGCAGGCTTTCCTCAGTCTACAGCAAGAGGGGGGAGTGTCAACCTTTGGCTGCTAAAGGAGCTGCATTAGCTCTTGGGAAAATTTCTGTTTGTGTGTGGTTGTTTAAACTATATAACTATGGAAAGCTATGTTTTGAGCCCCTTATAACAATATTTTAAATTGTACTATCTCTCCCCCTCCAATATACACATTTTTGTGTTTGATACCCTGGGCAACTTTGCAAAGAAGGGAAGAATATGAATATAATAAACAGAAAGGAACGAAAGAAATTGGTGCTGGCTAGTGGTAATATTTATTTATTTTATCAGAGTCTTTCTACCCCTGCTCCCTCCTGCAGCTCAAAGTGCATGGCAGCTTAACAGCACCATGTATAATATAAACAGTAATGCAAAACATAAAAGAGAACCATCCCTCCATGGCAAAACAGGAACACTAAGGCTGAGTCTAGACATATATATTTTTTAAAAAATGTTGTGAAAATGCTTATTTAAAAAAATAAATAAATATATTGAATTTGCCATTAGCTCACCGTCACCATCTAGTGTCACATTTGTATAATGCACTTAAAGCACGCTTAAAACGTTATATTTGCAGCTGTATAGCTGAGCCCTAAGTCTCAACTCCAACCAACATCAACACCCTCAGGTTCCAAAAAGCCTGGACAAAGAAGCACATTTTTACCTGCCATCTAAATACAGTGGTACCTCGGGTTAAGTACTTAATTCGTTCCGGAGGTTCATACTTAACCTGAAACTGTTCTTAACCTGAAGCACCACTTTAGCTAATGGGGCCTTCTGCTGCTGCCGTACCGCCGGAGCATCATTTCTGTTCTCATCCTGAAGCAAAGTTCTTAACCCGAGGTATTATTTCTGGGTTAGCGGAGTCTGTAACCTGAAGTGTATGTAACCTGAAGTGTATGTAACCCAAGGTACCACTGAACAGCTATTGCCATCACATCAAAAGAAGATGCAGGGCAACACGAATGTGGGGGAACAGGTTATACTTATTAAATGTTGTTGTTTTTTTAAAAAAGGTAAAGGACCCTGGATGGTTAAGTCCTATCAAAGGTGACTATGGAGTTGTGGCGCTCATCTTGCTTCAGGCCAAGGGAGCTGGCTTTCTGGGTCATGTAGCCAGCATGACTAAACTGCTCCAGAACACTGTGACAGAAACTTGAGCGCATGGAAATGCCGTTTATACTCCCGCCACAGCGGTACCTATTTATCTACTTGCGCTGGCATGGTTTCAAACTGCTAGGTTGGCAGGAACTGGGACAGAGCAACAGGAGTTCACCCCATTGTGGGGATTCGAACCACCTAACAGCTGAAGGATCTGCCAGTCAACATAACCAGGACAAGGAGTCCACCAAACAAGTCTGGGCATGTGAACGAAGCAAATGAGGGATCCAATCACTCCCATTGCTTGAGCCAGGTAACAGCTTGCTATGGTCACACAGCAAGGTTTGATAAACTCCTATCCACCCTTCCGTTGAATAGACCTTGGGTTCATTGGCCTACATTCAACCCGATGTGCGCACTAGGCCAAACCCCCAAAATGACTCAGATATTGACCCCATATTATCTGAAATCCGCTCACCTGCCTGGAACAAATGCCAGTCAGCTGAATTTCTATACACTACTCCAGCCTGATAGGGACGCGGGTGGCACTGTGGGTTAAACCACTGAGCCTAGGGCTTGCCGATCAGAAGGTCAGCGGTTCAAATCCCCATGACGGGGTGAGCTCCCGTTGCTCTGTCCCTGCTCCTGTGAACCTAGCAGTTCGAAAGCATGTCAGCGTGCAACTAGATAAATAGGTACCGCTCCAGCCGGAAGGTAAACGGTGTTACCATGTGCTGCTTTGGTTCGCCAGAAGTGGCTTAGTCATGCTGGCCACATGATCCGGAAGTTGTACGCCAGCTCCCTTGCCCAATAAAGCAAGATGAGCACCGCAATCCCAAGTCGTCTATGACTGGACCTAATGGTCAAGGGTCCCTTTACCTTTACCTTTACTCCAGCCCGATGGGAAGCACTCAGCAGTGCGGAGTAGGTGAAACCAAGGAAGAAGAAGAAGGGTTTGGATTTGATATCCCGCTTTATCACTACCCAAAGGAGTCTCAAAGCGGCTAACAATCTCCTTTCCCTTCCTCCCCCACAACAAACACTCTGTGAGGTGAGTGGGGCTGAGAGACTTCAGAGAAGTGTGACTAGCCCAAGGTCACCCAGCAGCTGCATGTGGAGGAGCGGGGAAGCGAACCCGGTTCACCAGATTAGGAGTCTACCGCTCTTATCCACTACACCACACTGGCTCTCCAGTGCAAGGCAATCTGTGTCCCTACCCAAAATTCCTACTCAGTTCCCTAAAAGAAAGGGTAGCTAGCAAACCCCACACTGCAGAAAGGGTGGGAGGGTGGGTGTCTGGAAAGGAAAGAGGGGGAAATGTGGGGTGAAGAAGGCTTAAATAGCCTAAGTGTCACTTCTCTCCTACTGGACAAAATGCCCCCATGTGGTGCCCAGACCGCTCCCCTATAGAAGACAACGTCTCTCCTACATTTCTTTGATTCCTCTTCTTCCAGGGGTGGAGGGTGTGGCATATACGTTCGCCTCACCCCACCCCGCCACCGACAGAAGAAAAGGAAGGGAAATGTGGTAGACTGTCATAATCTCATTATCACTGTTTTATGTACAAAGCTATATAAGCTGCCTAATCAAGACCTCTCATAAGCA